TTACTGTAGACTCTGCGTTGACGAGGAGGAGGCGGAGACAATTGACTAGTGGATACGGATATCGATTCGATACGAGGAGCGAATATCGATTCGGACCATTACTTTATGGCAGCCAAGATTCGCACCAGTCTTAATGTAGCAACAAAGGTTCGATCTAATGTAAAACGGCCTACTCCGCTCAACTTACCCACCTGCTTGATGAAAGCACTTCTTGTCCCGATACTAGTATAGAAGCACAATAGCAAAGAATTGCCTACAAACTGCAGCAAAAGCAACACTGGGGTATCAAAACCCATCATCAAGATTAAACACGCAGCGTATAGGGCAACCCTGCAGACATTGGCAACACGTAATGCGATGGATAATTATCGGGAGAAAAGGAGAGAGGAAAAACGTATTTTCAGAAAAAAAGAAGAAAGAACAAGAACAACGTGAGCGTGAGCAAATTGAGATGAACAGGAGTCAGAATGAAGTCCTGTTACTGTTACAAGATCAGCAGTTAAAGTCGGAAGCCCCCTCGGAGCCCTTTAATACCGAACGAAGATTCATACAACGCGACAGTTTGTCGTGTGACCTTTTTAACATCCTGCTGGAAAAGGTCATACGAGAGGCAAAGGTGAATAGAAATGGCACTCTGTACACCAAACAACACATGTTACACGCCTACGCCAATGACATCGACATAATGGGTCGAACATTGAGATCGGTAACAGCCACCTTTGAACAAATTGAGAAGGAGTCTGCCAAAGTGGGTCTGGCAGTAAATGGCGAGAAAACCAAGCTGATGGTATCAACGCGCAAGACGTCCAGTAGCCTCGAACCAACTGTGGAACTTCAGAAATACAGCTTCGGGGTAGTTCAAGATTTTATATACCTTGGTACTAAGACATCAGTTTTGAAATTCGGAGAAGGATAGTGTTGGCCAACAGATGCTACTATGGTCTGAGTATGCAACTCAAAAACAAAACCACCTACCGTCAGACCAAACTCACACTTTGCAAGATGCTGATACTACCCGTGTGATTATATGGATCTGAAGCGTAAGTACCCATACGCAAGCCGATGAGGCATCTCTTGGAGTTTTTGAGAGAAAATTTTTCTCCGAAAGATCTATGGACCGATCTGCGTTGAATATCGCCGTCGAATGAACCATGAGTTGTACCAGGTATTCTCGTACATCGTCATTATTAGACGTATTGAGCTGCAGCGACTACGTTGGATAGGTCATGTTGTAAGAATGGAGGAAGATTCCCCAGCCCAAAAGGCATATAAAAGCGAACCAGCTGATGGTTCATGCAGAAGGGGAAGGCCTCGAATAAGATGGAAAAATCAAGTGGAAGACAACATTGCCGAATATGATCTTTCAAACTGGAAAAACTGCGCAAAAGACCGACGCGCCTGGAAATTGTTTTTAAGCTCGGCTTATGGAAGGAAAGTTTTGTCACAAGCCAGCTAAGTAACTAAGTAAAATCAATTTTTGTGCCGGTTTTTACTAACCGATTAAACATAAATTCATATTGTTTATGCTTTCGTAAGGAAATTCCATCCCGGACATTTTGCACAGCGTAATATATATAATTTCAATCAATTTCTTGTTAATCAGTAAAGTGATACACTAACTGATTGAGCTAAAAACTTGAAATTTGAAATGCGAATCAAGTTTAAGAAGTAGTTATAAGTGGGTGGTTCTGGAAGTGTCTACTCATTTATATGAAATTTACTAAATAGTACTAAATTCGGTGCTTGGAAGACCCGATGGAGCTGGAATCCTTAAATGTGAAATTAACGTTACCATCGAGGTGCAGGATTGAGATCTGTAAGTAGTTTTGGAGATTTGTACTTATGTGTACGAAAGTACTATATTTAATAAAATTTGGATTTGGGTGAACCGATAGAGCTGGAATCCTTTGGAATAAAGATTACAGTTGGAATGTAAAACTGGGGTATGTAGGGACATTCGCTATCGAAGTGGCGGGCAAATTCTAGTTATAGATAAACTTGTGTCATGTCAAACCAACTGTAGATCTTTGTTTAGTTCGCATTTCGTTGAAAGTGTTGGTTTGAGATGTTATTATATTATGTAAAAAATTATATTATTTTCCCAATTGTGTCAGCATCAAGTGACGGCTAAAGGGCTTCTCAAACTTTAAACGCGTTTTTCTCTTTTGCGTATGGCGGGCACGATAACCCAATCGATTCCAAATTTTTACACGTTTCTCTGTGGGTGTATAGCTATCGTATGAACTAGGATAAAGCCAATCGGTGAAGATCTTCCTTATTTTTTAAATTGGTTTTTGGTAAAAATTAGGCGATTTTCCAAAAATATTTTTTCAAAGGTCCGCCATTTTGTTAATTTTAGAGCGAAGTCAATAATCCTAGTTCATACGAGAGCCAGACATGTACTCTTTCTAACATCGATGGAATTTTCGAATTCCGATGTTCCAGTGAGGAGTTATCATGCCCGCCATCAAAAATAAGGACTTTTCTTTAATTACAAAAAACAACAACAATTTTTTGTAAATAATTTTTCTTCTCTTTTAAACCTTCAATTATATATGTGCAAAGTTGCAAACATTAACAAACATTGGTATTGATTTACCAGCCCATTGAAAAATCTTGAAAAAATAAAATCGGGAATGGGGTGGGGGGGTTCCCTTAAGCTATAAATATTCGAAATTTCAATTTACTTACATTCAATTTTTCCAATTAAACAACTTTAGTTTTTTTTATTATATCTATCAAAACTATAAACTTCAAAAATTGTATAATTTGCATTTAATAGTTCATGCATTTTATACACATATTTTTTTATATCTATGTCAAGAGTTATAAAAATGTATTTTTTATGACATTCCAACAAAAATTTATTTCAAGTTTTTAATTTACAATAAATGTGCACACAAAATGGGTATATCTATCACCCACAGAGTTCTGCAATTTGTTGCCCCATCCTGTCTGTCATTCATAGAGAGAGAGAGAGTTATTACACAATTTTACAGAATTCCTAACAAATGAATGAATAAAAAATGAATGAATGAACGAACATTGTAGTTTTTACTTCGTTATTATTGCATAAAATGAACTTTGATAACTTTTATGTAGCAATTATGTGATGCTTTGTGTTCATGTTGTTGGCTGAGTTATTTCTTATGGCGTAAAACTTTACGCAACAATTAAATGCTACAATTAATATTTAATAGCTTGCTTACATTTAGTACAATCGACACAGACAAGAATTGGTGTTATTAGTTATGGTAGCAGGTCTGTAAAGTTGATTTCTATTGTCTATAATACAAATTGTCTATTTGTTATTGTATGAAGGGGTTTCGTTTGAAGTTTCAATATTGTAGTTAAAAATGTGACAATATGTGGTACTAAATGTGACACTATGTATATGGTAGACACAACCTGTTAGCCGAAAGTTTCCTGGATTGAGAAACAAATTCAAAGTAGACTTAGTTATATGTGAGTTACATATAAGACATAAGCCGAATCTTCTCATTAGAATACAATTAATTCAATTAATGTAAAGATCAGTTTTTCATAGAGTTTCCCGATATTGAATATTTCAATATGTTGCCTCTCATTATATTAACCTGAGGTGTGTTAGCGTGACCATATGATCACACTAATAAGACGATCAATAAATCATGTGGTGTGAAAAACTAAAACGCTGAAAGTTTCGTCGCAAAATTCAGAAAAAAATAATTACAGCTCTATTCGGGTTAATACAAAATACGCATATTTGAATTTCACTTGTCATTAATGACATACACGTTTTTTCCAGAAATAAGAATAAGCGTCTCATTTTATTTCTAATTATTTTTATTTCTTTTCTTCAATTACCTATGTGTGACCTCTTCGATTGTTCAGCGCATTTTCATTGCAAAAAAAAATCATTTCAAAATTGCGCATTTTCATTTCATTTCGCATTAAAATGTGATATTTAGCTTTTATTGCAATTATAATCATTTGCGCCCCTTCTGGCTATTCCGATCGACTGCGACTTATTCCCATAGGCAGCTTTTTTTCTAATCAGTCCACATACAGGGCATCTTCATCATCGTCGTCGTCGTAGCAGTCAGCCACCGGTACCGATAGGCGGCAGTTTTGTTTTCATTCTTGCTATTGTTTTAAAACAGCAAACAACAACAATAGAACTACAACTACAATGGCTAGTCGATATTCTGTAATCATTGCAATAATGATTGACTGCGTTGTTTTATAAAAAAAAACAAATTATAATTGTTTTTATATTTGCTATTGTTGTTGCTACTCATTGATTTCCATTTCAATTATTTTTTGAAAAAAACCATGAAAACAATACCAAGCCCTTGAGGTTCGGTTCCATCGCAATTTGTATGGGAGAAAAAACATTCCAATAAAAGGGGTATTTGCGTAGTCATTATTCAGATATTTGATATTCAATACAATTTGTATTTTTATGTAAAATTCAATAAGGAATTTTACAGATAATACCTTACTTGATACATTTTTTTATGACAATATAACCTGGCATATAGTCTCCAAATTAATGTGTCGATTTTTTGGGCAAGAAAACAATTCCAAAAGATCACGCCAAACGCTGTGATAGTCCATAAAAACATTCCTCCTATATAACTTTGATAGTCTTGAAAATAATTAAAAAAATCACTATAATCTTGAAAAAAAAAATGCAATCCAAATTCAGTTAACAAATCTACTCCCAAGGCGGTGATAGTCTTGCAAATAATTTTAACAAGTGAAAAAGCGTTAAGTTTGAATCCTCTCCTCCATAGGTATACTGACAAATACTTTAAATTAAAATATACGGAACATACCAAAAAGTGAACATATACCGATAATTCTACAAACCGATTTATCTAAACCATTGTGTACACAAGCACTTTTTAATGAAAACCCATCAATTTAATGAAAGCGTGGACTGATACATGGCATGGTAGAATATACAATTCTCAAACTTCTGCAAACCGTTAGATTACATATGGTGTGCCGTTAAGGCGGGATCACATGATTGCCGCAATGCGCCAATTATTGGTGCATTTTATATGCCAATCGTGTGATTGCACAATTTATTGTCCAATGCGACAATCAAAAATAAATTGTGCTGATTTGCGGCAATCAAATACAACTCTGGTACGACAATCGTGTGAACTGTTAATAGACAATCTTGCGCAAGTTTAAAGTTGAAAAATGCGTCAATATTTATTGTTTTCTAGTGCGTCAATCAAAGAAGACAATACGCGTCAATAACCTGATTTTTTTTAAATAATATTTTTTCTTGTGTTTGTACCGTCAACATTTCTTTGTCGTAAGTAAAGTAAAGTTAATTTAAATTGTTGTATTTGCTATAATTATGTTCATATTATGTATTTGCAGCTTTAATATGGAATTCGGTGATTGCATTGTATACGAAAATTCAGCTGAGCTTGAGTTCTTTTCCCCCGATCAGCAACCAGAAACACCTGTGCCGAAAAAAAGAAAAAAAACCAAGTGTAATTTGTTCCTGGACCTACACTGCAATACAGGAGCAGGAGTTCCATAGTTTGTTAAATTTGAAAGCAACGACATTCCATTCTTCCTGCGTGGATGGTATCTACATACATATCAAAAGAAATAATAAGTCAATTAAAAAGCATAAATATGTGTGTATTTAGATTTTTCATACCTTTATGTATGCACCTTTTAACGCTTTATAAATAGCATCACAAACAATTGGTACGAAAAGTGATATGGTATTTGGGGCAACACGGAAGAAGACCGAAAGACTTTTATAACTGTCACCAGATGCAAGAAATCGAAGTGTCACAGCTAAGCGTATTTGTTCGGGAATAGCCTTTCGCATGTTTGTGTCTTGTTTTTTAATATATGGTGACACTAGTTGCAACAATTCGATAAACGTTTCGTCATCCATCCGGATAAAATTTTTAAACAAAAACTTTTGGTTTTCGATTTCCCGGAATTCCATTAATGTTTTGTCATATGCACCATCAGTGCTTCTTTTTGTGAGCCACTCTCTGACCCACGTACTTCTATTTACTTTTTTTTTCTTTTCTTTCCTTTCATTTTTCTCATCGTCAAATGCACACACCATAATTATAGCTGCTGCAATTTTCTTTTTTTTTAAAGAACACATCTTAATAAAACAAATTTTTAAATGCTTTAACATTTTTAATAAACAAACTTTGACACATAGCAGCTGCTTCTGATATTTGCCGTGTAGTAGAACAATCGTGTGACTGAAGTTGGACAATAATTGTCACTTGATGGTTTTGAGACAATATGCGGCAATCAAATTTATGAAAAGTTGGACAATCATGTGACCGCAGAGAATTTGATTGTGACAATTTATTTATTGTAGTAAAACTTTGGACAATAAAAATTGGTTTAAATTGGCGCATTGCGACAATCATGTGATCCCACCTTTAGATTACATAGTGTAGGAATTAGCGAATATTTGGGGTTATAGCTATGCATATTTCCTTCAGGATGTATAATTATATGAGTGAGATGCATAAATACTGGCCTATATATTTCATTATCGTCAAGTTCGAGTTGTTTTATCATGATTTCCTTAGAAAGCCAGCCCAATAAAAAATCGCTTTTGCAAACATAAATTTACTGAGAAAAAATTTCATTGCGGGCGGAAGGGGGAGGGCCGGACCCCAAGCCCCCCCTCACTTGCTACATCGCTGATCCACTATTAACCATGTGATAGTTTGGAAATGTGATAGCTTTGGAAACATATACATATATGATTGTTTTGGAAATGCAATTAAAAGGATATAAGAAATTGATAGTCTAGGAAAACTATTTTTTAAACCTTTGCCTTTGATAGTGTCGAAAAAAATATATTTTTAAACCCTGCGTGTGATAGTCTAGAAAGAAATATTGTTTTAAAAACCCCTGCTGTGATAGTCTAGGAAAAATATTTTTTTAAAAACGCCTGCCTGTGATATTCTAGGAGAAAATTTGTTTAAAATCATCGCATATGATTATGATAGTCTAGGAAAAATATTTTTTTAAAGGCCCTGCTTGTTGTAGTCTAGGAAAAATATTTTTAAAATCCTCGCATACAACTACGATAGTCTAGAAAAAATTTTTAATAAATCCATCCACATCATTCTAGACCTAATTAATTGCGCTATGCCAAATTTCGTGCAAATCGAAAGATATATAGGGACTTTGGTCCACATTTACGTAAAATCGGAAGAAAATATATATGGGAGCTATATCTAAATACGGACCGATTTTCATTACGCTATGCCAAATTTTGTGCAAATCGGAAGATATATAGGGAGTTTGGTGCACCATTTACATTAAATCGGACGAAAATGTATATATGGGAGCTATATCTAAATCTGGACCGATTTTCAAGAAACTTAACACACATCATTCTAGACCTAATTAATTATGTTATGCCAAATTTCGTACAAATCGAAAAATATATAGGGACTTTGGTGCACATTTACATAAAATCGGAAGAAAATATATATGGGACCTATATCTAAATCTGGACCGATTTTCAGGAAACTTAACACACACCATCCTAGACTTAATTCATTACGCTATGCTATGTGGAAGGATATATAGGGACTTTGGTACACCGTTTACATAAAATCCGACGAAAATATATCGTTAGCTAAAATGCAAAAAGGCGTAACTAACAAAAGCATAATTGTGTAGGAGAAGCAAAAAACTGTTTTGAATGAAAACTATAAACATGGCAAATGAAGATTTTTCTAAGTTCACTTTTAATACACTGACAGATGTATACCTACATAAAACAAAATTGTTTTTCAGTTATTATTATTATAAACCCACTTGTAGTTACGTCCTTTTGTTTTTTGTTAATAGAAGCTCCTTTTTTGACCGCAGACGTGTAAAACTTTGTCAACACATGCAGTTTATTGACATTCACAATATTCATTCAAAAAGTCAATTTGAAATTCTTTGTTAGTTACGCCTTTTTGCATTTTAGCTAACGATATATGGGAGCTATATCTAAATCCAATTTCAATAGGGTTCGTCCTTGGGCCAAATAAGAGACCTATGCCAAATTTCATCCAATTCAGATCATAAATGCGACCTGTACTTTGTTCACAATTTAACATGGACAGACAGACGGACGGACATGCATAAATCGACTTAAAAAGTGATTCTATGCATATTCTCAAAAGGAACCCTGTGTTTATCTCGTTTCCTTTTGCCTGTTACAAACATATACACAAAGACATTATACCCTGTACCACAGTGTGGTGAAGGGTATAAAAATCTACGCCAGTGGGAGGCTAGGATTTTTTTTTTTTTTTTTGCAAAAATCCACGCCTGTGATATTTTTAACAAATCCACATTAATGATATTCTTGATTTTTTTAAATCCACGTCCAAGACAATGATAGTCTTGCACAAAGCACCATAAAAAATCAGCGCCTTAGCTTACAATAAACGTGCTAAACATTCATAAAAATCCGCCTCTAAGGTGCGATAGACTTGAACGAAATATTCTTAAAAAGTCAAAACCTGTGATTGACTGAGGAATTAATTAAAAAATATACGCACACGTCTGTTTTGAAAAAAAAAACATTCTTAAAAAGTTCTTAAAATTCATAAAAAATCCAAACCTAATGCTGTGATTGTTTTATAAAAAAAGATTCCTAAAAAATCCACGCCTAATGCTGTAATGTTATGATAGTTTGTTAAAAATATTCTTAAAAAATTAAACAATTCTAAGAAAGTCTAAGAAATAACTCTTAAAATCCTGGACTAAAACCGGGATAGTTTTGTGAAGCAGCAACCATAGTTTATTATTTTTACTTCCCACAATTAAAGGGTACATTCAAAGTTTTTTATTTATAGAGACAATCTAATTAAGTGGAAAGTGCGTGTTTTTCCCCTCTATAATTATATTGTCCTCGTCTAACATTTGACCCTTTACATTTGTTAAAAAAAACACAATTTTCCAATTGGGATTTTCATTCCCATAACCCCAATAATGCAGTCACTTCCTGCTTATTATTTATATTTACACCAAAAACATATTTTTACACTTCCCATGGTGGAAATCTCATGGCGAAGCAACCTCTCAAAACGGAAATAGCAATTAATTAAAAAATTAAACGACAAACAGGCGTAAAAGAGAACAGAACAAAGAAGCCTCACCACACAAATTAAACCACAATATAATTGCAATTCCTTAGTGCCAAGCTTTAACATTTCACTTTGATTCTCAAAAAAAAAAAACGATTTGTTGGTTTGGATATATTTTTGGAAATTGGCTTCAAAAATTGGTTTGTATATTTTTGTTTTAAAGATACAACACAACATTGTCTTTTAATTAATTTGCCTGAATGGCTTATTGGTATAACTCAAGTGGTTGGCAACGTTTTCTCATGTTCTTGGACAAAATGAATGTAAAAAACAACAACAAAAATTTAATTTTTTGGGCACATGAACAACAACCTCTAGTCCATTTCCCCTTTTGCAGCCACCAACCCTAAACAATTTTGAAAAAAAGTCAGTCAGTCAGTCATCATCAACAACCCAGTCTCCAACAGAAAGCCGGCATGTGCAATTGTTTTATTTTTAGAATAAATATTCAACAACAACAAACAATTACATATTTTACTTGTCGTTGTTGTTGGTGTATTTTAATGTTAGAGAAAAAACACACAACAACAAGAACAAATTGTTTTTAATTTGCTTCTTTGACAGGCGATATTATGTGTCTGGCCGTCATCCAGGTTTGAAGTAATTTGTTCCAAGGGCTTTTGAGCGATATAAACCCCTCCGCGCGATTAATATTGTAATGGGCAGGCGGCGGGCAGCAATTAGTTATTCTCATTCCGGGTTTACTCTTTTTTATGGTTGGCCTGTGTTAATGAATATGAATATTGTCTTTTATTTCTTGCTGCTGTTGTTGTTGTATCTTACAAACAGCCCCCTTCATCCTACTACCAATGCAAGTTTTATGACATAATTTGTTTCGAACACAAAATGTTAAAAATGAAACATGAAACTTTAATTACCCAGGCAAGGTGCAGTTTTGGTCGCCCAGCCGCCTTTGGGCTAATTGCAGCTTTTTTGTTTTGTTTTGAGGCGTTAAGGGATACTTGCATTTATATTGTTTGAGAAAAAGGGGTTAGTTCGGTTTCGGTTTTCTATTTAATGATTTTTTTTTTTTGGTTTTTTAGTTCGTAGAACTATTACTACCACCCGTGGGGTTCACGTAAACTGGTTTAAAAAAAATGTGTTGAAAACCACACAATTTATTAAGATTTTAATGGAAATCTAACTTAAAGAACAGCTTAAGAATAATTCTTACGGGTGTGTGTTTAGAAAGAAAAAAACGCAATGTAATTAAAAAATGTATTTCATTTTGGTAAAGAAAATGTACATTTTCTCATAATTGTGAGATAATGAACTAAACAAAATACCCACAACTCGCCCATAGTACTAAGGGGTCGGAAGTAATGTGAAAGTATG